AAATAAAAGGTACACCTTAGTTCTTTCAAAAAAAAAAAAAAAAAAAAGATTCACAAATTATCTAGATACATGTTCTAGCATTATGTTTTCTAGCTTCTTATTTAGCGTACCATACACAAAGTACCCTACTGTGCCATTAATGAAGTCTTTGACAGGAATGATTTCCCTGGCTGAAAATTAGATGTTTACTTTGTGTGTGTGTGTGTGTGTGTGTGTGTGTGTGCGTGTGTGGTACCAGGAATTGAACTCAGGACCTTGCACTTACCAGGGAAGGACCTATTCTACTGAACTATTTCCCCAGCCCCTAGATATTTACTTGACTGGATCTTTCTGGATGCTTTTGGACAATTCTGTCCAAATTTGCCTTATATAAAAGAAAACAGATACAATGTAGCTTAGAGATCAGAACGAAGATCAAGACTGTCACCCCATTTGCTGTTACATAGGCAATAATCTTAGAGTAGTCCTTCCAAAATTTGAACTGCTTTCTTCTAGTATGACTTCAGATTGCAAGGTCCTCCCTGAAAATAAGCAACACAAACTGCTTATTCCTCTAAATTGTCTAGTAAATGTTTCATTATATTTGTTCAAAGCATTTATTCTGAAAGAAGAAAAGATTAGAAAAATAAAATATGCCACTAAAATTAGAATTTTTAGTTTCTGTCTTAAAAGTAAGCATTATTATATAAATTTGTGAAGATATCTGACTACAGCAAAAAGTTCACCAAAAATCAAAAAGAGGTCTTAAGCTCCTGAAATAGAGTTAAGGAGAAATCATTGTAATTTACTATCTGGGCCAGAGAAAACATGAGTACTTCCATTGTCTAAGAAAAAATCTCATAGATTTATTATGTTTGCACTGGCAACCACCATTACTCTGCAAAGGAAGAAATTATTTGCTTATTTGACAATTTAGTGTGATTTTGGCAATTAGTTTACTAGAAGTACATGTGAGTTATGTGCATTGAAATTATATGATGTTGTCCAGTTTGGATCAAGCATCCAAGTGACCAGGCCAGGACACAAAGCCACACAGAGGCAATGGGTTGGTAGGAAATCACCCCTTTGTGGGGAGGTTGGAGAAAAAGCAAAACTGAATTCAGACAAGAGGAGTATGGGCTACACACTTGTCTGCAAAGATGTCAATGTTAAGTATAAAAAATAGAATTAAAGTTAATCTTGGAAGTAAAGAATA